GTTCTTCTACAGCTGTTGAGATCACTTGGGGGGGGAGTCGTCAACTCGAATTACTATATACAGTACTGTATAGCCTATATAAAATGAATAATATAAATTGAGATTATCTAAAATAAGGTATAATTCTTTCTACTATATATATAATAGAAAGAATTATATAATTTGCTTAAGTATATGATTATATGTTCTGATATAGGCAGAATTTCCATTTATAATGAAAAACCCGGAATATATAATATAAAAAGCGAATTGTACTAACTAAGTCGTTTAAAATCTAAAACCAATTTAACTAAAGATTACTCCTCCTTCTTCTTTTTATCTCCTTCATTCTATACTTAAACTAAAAACAAAAGGGAAGGAAAAGATTGAATTAAATTGAAAGTTATATATAAATAGAGAAAAACCTTATTCACTAAAATAAAATGATTAAGAAAGAGGAATTATTGAATTGATTCGATTGAATAAAGTATTCATATTCAATTGAATTTTGAAAGAACTGAGAATAAAGGGGGGGAGATTTAATCATTATATAAGGATAAATAGAAGTAGATTATTCTTCTATTTCTTTACAAAACTTGAAATATAGGAGATTGAATTCTTTTTGGTAAGGGAATAACGGTTTGAAGCTTATAAGGCTTCAATTTCAATGTATTCTTTTAAAGGTATAAATAGAAATTGAATTTATACATAATTTTTGAAGTTATTTCGTTAAATAACTATTTGGATTATAATAGGCTCTTCAACTTTATAACCTTTTTCCTTTGCCCTTTCGAATCAAACAGATTAGGTCTATTGAAGATAATAGACAGGCCTTTTTTATTTAACAGATGTACAAAGAGAGCGTTTCGTATTATAAGGTGAAGGAGGAGGGCCTAATGAAAGGTTCCTAATGAGAGTAGCGGAGCAGTTCTTTTCGTACGAAGAGAGATGGTTTCGAATTCGAAAAGTATACTGAGCTCTAAGCAGGACATAGTGAACACAAATTGAACTATTGATTTATCAAATTCTATAAACATAATAGTCTAGTTTATAAATCAATCAATTCATTTAATTCTAAAGAAATCAATTATAATTAGAAATCCCTTCTTAACATATTAATTAAAAAAAGATAATATAAAGAATATAGTGTTCTAATTCTTTATATAAATTATATATAAACATATAGTCTAATATAATCTTATTCGTTTTCTCAAAGAATATTTTATCAAATAGTTTAAACCACCCTCTTTATTTTCATACGAATATCTTTATACAAAATCTTAAAAAGTGATCTAATTTATGAATACCTTTAATAAAAAGGTAAACATTAATTAATATTGAAATCATTTAGGGAAGAGAATCGTTAACTTAAATCATTATATATAGTACTATATAGTCTATATAAAATGAATAATATAAATTAAGATTATCTAGAATAAGGTATAATTCTTCCCACTATATATATAATGAGAAGAATCATGTGATTCGCTTAAGCATGTGATCATACGTTCCGACAACAGCAAAGTGTCATAATAATTTATAATAATCAAAAACCATTATATTATATAATTACATAATGATCCTCTAAATTAAGCAGATCGAGGAGTGAACTATAGACTCTCAATAACGAGGTCTCTCAGAGCAGTATAATACTATTGCGCATCAGAGTTTCGTATTTATTGAATATATTGATTGAATTCGCCAGCTGAACCCTTTACATGTTTGATCGTTGATGTGTAGTCCAGACTTTGAAGACCCTGAAGCTTAAAAATACTTGACAGGTTTAGTGGAACATAAAGTTTCATGCAAGGGCAAAAAATATTTAGAGGAAAGTTGAGCCAAGTGTGCTTGTGCGTTTGTGGGTCTGAGATGAAGGCCCCTTGTTTCACTCTGACTATGTTTTGTGTACCCATGTGTTCGTCCGACTTTTAGAGCCGATACCATAATGTAAACAAAGCTGTCCTTAGTAGACCATTATGGTCAGGATATCAATTCATCAAGCGATGTATAATTTCCGATGTGTCTCAAAAGCTCGTGGAGAGTAGAGTACCTACCAACCCCGAACTCCATAAAGTCGTCAATAAAATCTCCGATATCAAGAAACTCGGACATTTAAGATCGAAAGAATTTACTAGCGAAGGGTATGCCTGTTATCATCTAAATGAAACGAACTCTTAGATCCTAACTTCTGGATCTGTGAATCCGTGTTATTGACAGGCATTGTTTTTCTAGATCATCCTTGATACTCGTACTTCGTACGTCTTCCTTTTTCCGTCGTTCATATTTTGATTTACGAGATTAAATTGACCACCCTACTTTCGGGCCACCCCTGTTTTGGACCATCTTTTTACACCAAAAATCACCTTTTTAGCCTATTAATATCTTTATTCATATATAATCTAATTTAATAAAAATCTGAATCTATATAATTTAAACCATTTTAAACTTATTTTGAAAATTTGAAAATTTTAGGAATTTTCTATATTAAAATCTAAAGCTTTAAAATATCGATTTTTAAATTTATATAGGAATTATATACAAATTTAAAACTTTTATAAAATCTTTAATAACTTTTTAATAACAATTATCAAAAAAAAACTATATATCTTTTTGAAAGTTTTGAATTTAAATTTATATAAAAATAAAATAAAAAATAAAATAAAATTAATAAATATAAAGATATAATATATAATGAGTTTAAAATAATATAAATAATCCTTATAATTTTAAGGGTATTCTTTTAAATATTTATTTATAGGAAATTTTCTTTTTTTTTTTTGAATTCTTCAAAATAAATATATTATAAATTTATAATAAAATTTTATAGTTTATTTTTAATAATTTTTATTAAAAAGTTATTAAAGATTTTATAAAAGTTTCAAATTTATATGTAATTTCTATACAAATTTAAAAATCGATATTTTAAAGTTTTAAATCTTAATATAAAAAATTCCTAAAAATCTGAAATTTTCAAAGTAAATTAAAAATGATTTAAATTATATATATAAAAAATTTCAATAAATTTTATTTATAAATAAGAAAATTAAAAATTTCATTTTTGATGTAAAAAGTAGTTCAAAAGAGGGGTGATTTGAAAGTAGAGTATTCGATTTACTTAATGTTTTAATATTTTCGAATGGCGTGAATTTTTGAACGTAAATGTATCTGAACCTTGACTTTACCATGTCTTTTTCTTGCAATATTCTTGGTAGTCTCCTTCGAGATGCGCTGCTTCACGCTGCTTAGACCTGGCAAGTTGTACAATTCTTTTGTGTTATGGATAATGTAATAGTGATTTATGTTCGTTTGACATAGTTTATAGCTCACAGCATATCATGGAATTCTCCTTGAGAATTTGCGATACCTACAAGAGTAGAAAAACGAGCGCCAGCCATCGATTGTGCGTGATATCCCATTATCCAAACAGCAATTACGTCGAGACCAACTCATTTTGGTGGTTATTCTTTCATGGCAGCAAACGCTTTAGTCATTTGTTGGATGATTAGTGTTTGATGTTCTTTTGTTTCAAAAAATTTAGTCCGTCGGGATTTGATTTAAATCGATACTGATATTAATACCTCGAAAAATACCAACTCTTTAAGTCTTTGTACACGTGGGTCATATGAGGAGTGACTATAAACGCCTAAAGATCGATTTTTTATGGCGTTTCCAAGATGTTTCAACATGTAGTGTGAACGCAGTCATCGACCAGCTGCAGGTTCAGACGATATCCTTTAAACTAATTCAATATAGCTGTCACTACATTGAAGTCCGGAATTCTTCCAAGCAAAGCCCCCAACAACCGTGATTGAATCGTCAGTGGAATTGAATCTCACTTCAGCATCTGAGATGGTAGCTATAGATCTTCCAGTGAAGTGCCCGATGATGTAAATTGCAGCCATCTTGCGCAGATAGCGCAGCTGAATGATATCTCTTTCAGGGGCCGGGTGCGTCAATTTAAGGGACGTAGTGAAGGCTAGCGAAATCTCACGAAAAAAAGACCCTACCAACTCTTCCATGATACCAATACTATGAGAGACAATCATGACAAAAGAATCTTGGACCAGCCGACTTTTGATCTCTGTCTTATATAGGTTGTAAGAAAGATCGTTACTAACCGTTCATATCAGATTATGGACAGTTTACAATTCTGTGCACTCCTCGAATCCGTCAGTCATTATTTTGCTCTGAGATAAATTCATCAACAACACTATTGCCATGTGTAAATCGGCTTCAATACGACCACGCTCGTCCCAAGGGCTCAAAGTAGTGATAAGATGTAGCCCATGCCTTGAGATGACCTTTGTGCTTCCCTTTGCCTGCAGAATGTCCGGTGAGAAGTTCTCGGCAGTATCCATATTTGTCCCTTTCTTTTTGGATTTCCTAGCTTAATATCTCAAAACGATCTTAACACCATGATCTTCGAAGGATTCAAAAGAGTTATATCCATAAATAACTAAGGTTTCTGATAGGAGCTGTGTAAATATGCCAAAGCATGTGGTTTGAATCGTGCTAGTGATTTTGTCCTATGATATATAAATCCTCCGCTGGTCATCTTCAATAGCGTAAAGATTTTGAGATATATTTGGAGTCCTCGAAAGATAACAACGTGATACTTAGATACTGATACTACAAGCAAGTACTGACAGTAGCTTGGTAGGGTAAAAGTCCTTTTCAGGCCATGATTAACTAGCGTCGTTGCATCTAGATGAGCTAGCGTTAGACGATTAGCGACATGTGAGATAGGAGGGAAAAAAATATCAACTGGAGGCACGTTGCGATCCAAACAGCTCACTAGCCAATGGTTTCGACACTAGTCCATTTGAATAACTACTCAACATTAGCTGCCCCAAAATCACCACACTGTTCCAGCGTTATGCGGCATAAAAGTTTGATGAGTCACTTCACTTCAACACTTGCGAAGACTTGTTCAAGACGAAAAGCTTATCTTTAGAAGAAAAATAAATAGCATGAAATGTGTATTGACCCTCAGCAATCCATTCCTGTTTCAACAACAGAATCTAGATAACTGTATTGAGCTCAGCAACAAACGAGTGAGAATCCTTCAAACTCTCGACAGCCTGTTTAAGGTGCTCCACTTTATCTAATGCCATTCTCCGTCGCTATACATGTCAGAATATTTCAACAATGTTTCAGGGAACTTACCTCAATTCCACTCCAACCGATCAATCCCAGAAACGTTCTCTCTGGCAAGTTTACACTAACACCACTCAGAATGTGTGTACCCTTCAACGCTACTGCGAATGCTCCCCATGCTGTTTTGGCAGCAATCTCTTTCTCGGAGTCTTCATGAATATTAATTCTAAAGACTTCGATTATTGGGGATGCAAAGATATCTTTTGGTGAGATATCAGTCTCGTATAATTCTGGGCTTGTGGGAGCAGTAAGATATGGCTTTATCTTTCCAATAAATATCGGAAGCTGTTTACTCTGGATAATACCATGAAATGATTCCGGGTTCTCCCATTCTGTATCACATTAGCCTGTCAATTTTTGAAAGGGTCTTTGATCGGATAGCTTGCCTACGCCCACAATTGGAATGAATGAAGACGCTGGTACAGCAACATTGTTTTCGAACAAGATGTATCCGGCTGTGCCAAGTTCGAAACCAGGAGCTGATTTTACGAAAGATCTAATTGCTGGAACAACAGTGTTGGTGAACGCATCAACTGATTCATCTGATTGAACAATTGAAGGCTTTATAAATTCGGTGAAAGGCATCTCGAGGATAGATTTTGGTGATCTGGATACACGAATTGTTGTTTAAGAACCGATTGAAGAAAAGATATATGAAGCTGATGTCAAGTCGACGAAGTAATTCTTATATACCTCGATATCTGTGTCATATTGTCTACTTTAGCTGCGCTAGGCCAATATCGGGACCTCATCGTAGGTATACAAGACAGGGCCAAGAATCTTCTTCAGCCCGTCTACAAGACGAAAACTTAAGAAGATGAATAATGGTACACCAAAAAATACAATATATTCAGGTCATCGTCGTGGAAATAATGAGGTAAGCAGCCAGGTACCCACTTTATGCTTACAAGCAGTGGAACTCCGCTGGAACCACAACGCCTAATCCATTTCGGCTCAAACTACAGAGTATATAATTGTAAATCGGAGTGGAATTCCGCTTTTATACTGAATAATTGTATTTTACTCACGATCAGAAGTTCTAGGCTTAGTTCCATTAAAGTACCATAGATATGACGACGCTTTTAGTCCACCAAAGCAAGACTCGGAAGAAGGCGTGTACGGCCTGCGTCAAAGCAAAACGGAGGTGCGATTTGTTGTTACCAGTATGCTCCAGATGTGATATGAAGAATTTGGGTTGTGTTTATGTAAGTAGATTGTTGTGCCTCATCGTATCAGCAACACCGTGATGTATAGAATGCTGAAATTGTGGATATAGGTGAATGAGGTATCTTGGATGAAATCAACAAGGTCTTCTCAACGTGCTAAACCAACCACGGTTCCTGTGGAGAGCAGTACGACAGCACAGTCTGCACAGATATTTACTGATTCGTATGAGGCATGTCTCGATTCGTTGCCCTACGACACTATACCACTCTTAGATTACCAAGATCAACAATCTAACCTGGATCTCACATCGTGGAATTCCACCAGCAACACCGCCCTTTCTTTTTCACCTGACATATTATTTCCAATCACCAATCCACTTACATCACTTAATCCTCAGACTCTGTCTCCCTCTATCGATCCATTCCCATCACCTTACTCATCTCTTCAATTTCCTCCTCGCAACACCCTTAACCCCGCTCAAATCACCTACATCTCAACCCAACTAAAATCATTCGTATCATCCTTCGCACTGCACTCCCACAACTCCTTCATCCATCCAGTTTCATTCCATAATCTTGGTAAACCCCTACCCACCCCATATGCCGACGCACTATCTATCTGTGCACTTCATACCCTCGGCTCTCCTCATGTCTTCTCGATTCTCGACTCTAATATCTCAGATCTTATTTCATCCAGTGAAAAAGGTTACTGGCGTTCATCCGAATGGCTGATCGTAGTTCAAGTTTTGAATTTATATCAAATAATCCGTCTCTGGTCTTCAAATGAAAGACAAAAGATAAACGCCGAAAGACATATACCATTGCTAATGCAATGGACAAATCAACTACAAATGGAATATGTAGGATTGTTAGCACAAGGTATAGACACGCGACTTCCCACAGACGCTGCCTTTGGTAAAGATAGCAAGCTACAAGATCACGCAGAAAGATGGGTCCTTCTGGAAAGTATACGACGAGCCGTCATGATTAGTATGATTATACAATGCTTATATGGCGGGATGAAGAATGGGTATATAGGGGAATTATTACCTGTATTATTTCACCTACCAGTCGGTGTTGATGCGGGTAAAACATGGGAAAGTTTGGGTAGGCAAGTTCTCAACGAACATCACACATGGGAACATCACTCTGACGATGCAACAAACATCGAGTATGGAGAAATCTACGCATACAAATATTGGAGCGAGGGCTGGACGATTGGGATTGTGGGAGGAGGTGAAATGGAACAGGAAATTTATGAGAGGATGTTGTTGGTAGCTTGTGCTAGTACTAGAGCGATTGAAAGATGGGGAGGAGATGTGGAGTCGGAACATGGAGAGGTGGAATTGCCGGTTGTGGGAAGCTTGGAGATGGATGTGTAGGTTTGATGGATTGAGGACTTTGGGGAAGTGGGAGGTTGCATTTGGAGGTGTTTTAGAATTAGCATAGGCGTTAGGGTAAATGCCGCGCTCTTTCGCTTGCAGGATCGGCAGTCGCTACATATAGCACTGACAATACGTCAACTTATTAGATATTCCACTCAATACGTAGATTTTATGAATATTTTTGAAACTGCAATGATCACTCTCCACCTAAAACCTGAAAGATTTCACAAATCCTGAATAAAATTCGATTTAGATACCCCTCGAACACAGTGAGATATTTTCAGTTCTACTATGCCCCATCAATGAATAACAATCAATTTCGACGAAGTCGATGATCCTCACAAGCGACTAGCCAGCAGAAATTTCTTGAAGAACTAGGATTCCCTTTCTCAAAACCACAAAGTTTAGCTCGTAATTTTCTATCTCCTCTTCTCACACCAATACACTCCTTGCAATTGTAATTTCAATATAATTTCGAAAATCGTTAAATCATTGGATATATACGTTAAAACAAGTACTACCAAAAACCACCAAAACCCTATGCAATTATCCACAAATCACACCCTTTTAAGCCCCCATTAAACCCCCCAATTAAGCCTCCTCACACTTCTCCAAAGCCTTGTTGAAAACCTGCACAAAGTTCCATACATCCTCATATGTATTATAAAGTGGTACAGGCGCCACACGAATAACATCTGGTTTTCTCTTATCGGCGACAATGCCGGCGTCTTCGAGCATGCCTGAGAGAGTTTCTAAACGTCCGGGCTTTAATAGAACGCTGAGTTGTGTTCCTCTTGCTGAAGGATCAGAAGGAGTGATGATGCGGAAAGCGGGGGAATCGGAGGTATTGGTTGATAAGAGGAGATGTTCGAGGTAGGCGGTGAGATGGAGAGTTTTTTGAGAGATCTCAGCCATGGATGTTTGGTTGAAGATTGAGAGGGCGGCGCAGAGAGATGTGAGATCAACGACTGAGGGGTTGCTAACTTGGTAGCCGGAGGCACCGGGTGAGGGACGGAATTCTACAGAATTTGTTAATATTTGTTCGAACGAAAAAGATGAGATAGAAAGAACTTACTGTTGTTCATCAAGAATCGACAACTTTGATCTCCTCCATACCATCCCATCAATCTATGTCTGTACTTTGGCTTGTCTTCTCCTTCACTGTAATCCACCTCTCCATGTCTCTCATGCACATATGCACCTGCGATACTTCCAGGTCCGGCATTCATATACTTATACGTACACCAAACCGCGAAATCGACATTCCAATCATGAAGTTGTAGTGGGACATTTCCTGCTGCATGTGCTAAATCCCATCCTACCATCAATCCCTTAGATTGTGCATATGCTGTAATAGTCTTGATATCGAAAAGTTGACCGGAGTAGTATTGGATACCGGGTAAGAGGAGAAGAGCGGTAGTAGATGCATGCTCGTCAATTGTGCGGAGAACTTTCTCAGTGGAAATCTCATAGCTTCCCTCATCCGGTGCAATCATCACCATAGCTTCTTCGGGATTATATCCATGTCCTCTAATTTGTGATTCGATAGCATAATGATCACTAGGGAATGCTTTCCATTCCATAATAATCTTGCTCTTTTCCGGAGTAGGTGTGTAGAAAGAAGCCATCAATAAATGTAAATTTGTAGTCAAAGTACCCATAATGGCAACTTCGGAAGCCTTGGCTCCTACAATGGGGGCACATTGCTTGGAAGCATGTTCGGCGAGTAATTGCCATTGTGTCAGAGGAGAATCTTCCAAATCACGGAAATGGCCGTGAACAGCAATAGAAGACCAGGTATCAAGATGAGCCTGAAGGTACTCTTGAACACACTTAGGTTGGAGACCTAAACTATTTCCACAGAAATATATGGATGGTTCATCGGAAAGACCTAATGAATCGTGAGCTGATGTGCATATTGTGTCATGTGATGTGATGGCGGGGTATGTCAGTAGAAGGCACAGTGTAAACGAACCTGGTTTTGCAAGCTTCTTTGTTTTGATGTTGGCTTTGGATGGAATAATGAATTGATCGCGAAATCTTCGCATATGATCTTTCGCATCAAGTGACTGCGCAAATTCAAGTGTATTTGCTTTGGATGAAAAGGATGGCTTCTCAACCTTTGTCGATGGCTGTTCTTCCTTTGCTATGGAACCCATTTTGCTGAGATGGCGAAATTCGGTGGTAAAGGTGTTGTGGTATACGTAGTCGTGGATAAAAATGTACAACTACAAGTCTGGTAGTATGTTGCGAAGCAATCGTTTCTTAAGAACCGAATAAGATGGATGAAACTAATCTAATTCAAAAGATTAACGACAACGTCAAGTCTGATCACTTTGTAGGCGATCCTGTTCTTCCTTCAGTCTCGTCGTGCTGTCATCGATATCCGTGTTCCGTCGGAAGAAGCAAAGTTTCCTCTGCATCCGCTCCCGTTTCCGTGTTCCGTCTCCACATATTTAGCTTCCTCCTCCTATTCTTACGCGATAACAAATCACGCGCATGGTATCACTTTTATCTATGAATGGATGCCGGTATTGTGGAAATGTGGAAATGCCCGAAACTCTCCCTGTCGTATATTATACGGCGTAACAGAAGTATGAGACGAGAGTAGAAAGGTAATACTGGTGTCCTTTGTATAAGCAAAAGTAAAAAGTTACAGCATAACGAAAGCCGTGCTTGAGTTAGCATTTTTGGTCTTTTCGTTGCATCCTGCTTCTCCTGCATATTCCTCAACAAAATCTATAATTCCGTTCAGAATGCTCGGTCCATTGAATATCAATCTCTCCGAATTTGGAGTTTCGACAGAGAATGGATTCCTTCCAGATATCAATCCTCTTCCACGATTGAGCGCTTATGTCGAGTGGGAAGATTTAGTAGATGAGATGCCTTTTCTACTCAAGGAAGGGTTGTTCAGACAGCATGCTGATGCTTTGCCTATACTCGATACATCGAATTTACATGAGGAAGATGAATGGCGAAGAGCTTACCATTTATTATCCTTCATGACACATTCGTATATCTGGGGAGGAAAAGTTCCATCAGAGGTAAACCAGCCAAAACCATCATTGACACATTCTTGTACTAACAACCACAGTTATTACCCCCTCAAATATCAAAACCCTTCCTAGTCGTTTCATCCCACCTCGGTCTCCCCCCAACCGCCACATACGCCGGTCTCAATCTCTGGAACTTCACCAGTAGTTCCCCAACACAAGATCTCACCGATCTAGACAAACTCTCCTGTCAACACACCTTCACCAACACCCCCGATGAATCCTGGTTCTACCTCGTCTCCGTCGCTATCGAAGCCCGCGGCGCAGAAGTCATCCCCTTGATGATAAAAGCTATGAATGCTGTTCGCTCCGACGAGCCGGAAATCTTAATATCCTGCCTCGAGAAATTCTCAGCCTGTATAAAAGATTGTGGTAAAATCCTGGAACGCATGTATGAAAAGTGTGATCCCGAGGTCTTTTATCATATCATCCGACCCTTCCTAGCAGGTAGTAAGAACATGTCAGTAGCTGGTCTGCCAAGGGGTGTATTCTACGATGAGGGTAATGGAAGTGGGGAATGGAGAACGTACAGTGGAGGAAGTAACGCACAGAGTAGTTTGATACAATTCTGGGATGCGGTGCTAGGTGTCAAACACGTACCTACTAGACCTATGGGCAAACCACAGAGTGAAACCGTGGAGCCTAAGAAAGGATGTCACGGATTCTTGGAAGTATGTTTATCTCTTTCCCCTTAATTTCATCTTCACCCCATCCCATAAACATCTCACTAACCCCCACCCAGGAAATGCGCAACTACATGCCGGGCTCTCACCGCGCCTTCCTCAACCACATCTCCTCAATCTCTCCCATCCACACCTACGTCGACTCATCCATCTGTTCCTCCTCCGCCACAAAAGCCTACAACACCGCTGTTGAAACCCTCACCGCATTCCGCAACATCCACATCCAAATCGTCACACGATACATTATTAATCCATCTCGGAAAGCGATGGCTCAGGACACGGAAAAAGAAAACGCGGGATTAAATTTAGCGGTTGCGACGACGAAGAAGGGAGGAAAGGATGTTAGGGGAACGGGAGGAACGCAACTAATTCCGTTTTTGAAACAGAGTAGAGATGAGACGAGGAATATGGTGGTGGATGTGGTGGAGAGTCCGTGAGTGAGGGGAAAAGGTTGATGATGTGATGTATATATGGGATGGGATGGGATGGGATGGATGGCGTTGAGATATGGTTCATGATATAGACAATAATACCCAATGATATTTTGAAGCAAGAAGCTTTAGATTTCTCAGATTTGCGGAGAAGTGAATCTATAAGCACGGCATCTAGCCAATACCTTCAGTCTAATAAATCGAACATAAAGCAATTGAGGCATACTATCATTGGATACCCACGTAACCCTGCCTGTGAATTCTGGAACCTACACTACTCAAGGTCTCAAACTCTCCATTCATCACCACTTAACCAACTATTCACCACAAAACCACACGCCCGCTCCCCCCAACCTTTTCTTCTATCCAACATTAACCGAGATCTCACCAGCAATCACCAAAACAAAACTCCGACAAACACATGTCCCATATCATCCCATCTTCTAACGACCTTTATTTTCAGCTGGCTCTCAATCAAGGAAAACGATCTTAGCTCTTAAAAAATATGACACGAGGGTAAATGTGGCGAATCAATGGCTACGGGGTCGATATCAACCAGTTTTCCTTGGGGTTTGAATCTGACATTCTTCACGTCATGGATATGTATGTATATTGAAATGTAATTGCAATATTGACATACTGAAACGTGGTCAAAAGGAGTCAAGTTGAAATATGAGTGATCGCCGACAGATGAGGATAATTTCTCTGCTCAACATCCCCCGTAGATCGACCTTCAACTCTCCAACGGTATATCACATCACATCCTCAAAGGTAAACCCCAAAACTGCCAAATAGTGAATCCCTTGTCATATATAATTTCCATGTACTTATATTATAATTCAACAAACATCAACACAAGCTAGAAACATCATGTACAGTAGAGCACTTCCACAATCCAATCTCAGACTTCCTAGATTCTTTCTTTGACCATTCCGAAAATAGTAGACACTCTCCTAGGATATACAACTACCTATCTACCCACATACAAATTAACCCTCTCTGTGCTGACACATA